CCCCCCCCCCCCCCCCCCCGCCAGCGAAGGGTACGCGACTCAGGTCTACAGCTGCTGCGGCAGCATTTGCTCGCGTTGTGTCTGCATAAATGCGTCCGACTTGTGAATCGCCTAACTCCGACCAAACCCATTGCAACGACACCGAACAACCGAACCCGCTTCTCTCCTCTCTCTGTAGGTACCGAAGCTACCTGCGGACTCTACGCCGGGACGAGGCGCTGGGAGAAGCCAATCAGGTAGACCATGGTTTTGCACACGCAATTTTCGTTTCTTGCTACAACACAACGAATCAATCTATCTCCACAGATGACAGTCCAGGTTAAATAAACTAAATATCAATTAATCCATAGTGTTTTTAATAGTCTAGGGGTCTCGACCGGTCCACCGGGTATATCATGCCCTGGTACACACAAGTGCCCCGATTTTCCCCAACAACGTGCGTACAGGGTTTTCAGTTTGAGTACATAGGACGATCAGACCGAAACGCAAACGTAGGGTGCTACATATTTATTGTTCCAAGATACCCGTGCGTAACTCATGGCTAGAGCATCAGAGAGCACTCAGTTTGCGCTCCTCTTGACACCCTTTGCTTCAGTTGGCACGCACACCGCCGCCGCTTCGCAAAAAAACTAATAAACAAACGAAAAACAAGAAATGAGAGAAAGCGTTTTTCCGCCCCCCTTTCCCTGCTCTTCGTTTTGTCCAAGGTTGCAATGCTGGATGGCGTGGCGCAGCTTTGGGAGCATTCTCCTCAGTGGTTCTGCCTGGTGTGCAAGTATTTGCTGGACATTGGAGTCCTAAGCCCCACCACCGTGGTCTACTACGTGTTCAGGGAGGACAACAACAACGCCATCGCCCTCAGCCCGTTCCTGTGGGAGGTGAGGCGAGATTTAGAACAAAAAATTTGTGTTGGCTATCGTTTCAGACTTCTTGTTTTTTTTAATTATTACCGGACGGACAGAAGAGTGTACAGAGATTTGTCACAAATGACAGAGTTCTCTCCGGCTGGTGTTTTGCGTCACCCCTCGCCCGTGATTTGGCAAGGTATTCCTTGAAATCGAACATACGGGAGGGGTACTGCAATGCGAACACGGGGAAACCTGTTGGTATTCGGTAGGTTTTCCCTGGTTCTTACCTTCTTGGTGGTGCGTGGTGCGGTGCTTCACCAGGTGATGAGCAAAGCCATAAGCTTGTACACGGACCGGGTGACCCTCTCTCTGGGCGAGCTGCGAGACTTGGAGAAGAGCGCGAAGGCTCTGGATGAGGCTATCGATGAACGTCTCAAGAACAGGAGTCCGGTCCCTTCGACGGAGGAGGGCGACGACAATGCGCCGCCGGCCGACCCGCAAGGTTTGATGAGTTTGTGTTTGCGTTGTGCGGCATTCTTCCGTTAGAGAGAGAGAGAGAGAGAGAGAGAGAGAGAGAGAGAGAGAGAGAGAGAGACACACACACACACAGAGAGAGAGAGACACACATAGAGAGACACACACAGACACAGACAGACAGACAGAGACATGCATGTATATTCGAGGTTGAATATTGAGTACTTCGTTGGTTGGATCTTTTATTTTTTTTTGCCTGGAACTATTTCTGGATGTAACCTGAGCTTACGTATGCGCGGCTGGTATCATTCGGCAACTCTCAAATGGTCATGAACGACCGTTGCATTCTGTAATGTTCGCACTCGATGCTATAATAGATGCTTCCCCGGCTGTGCCCTGTAATCTCTCCAACACTGTTATCGTTCCGTGCCACGTGTCACGTCTCACACTGCTGTGCAAAGGAGAAAAAAACGGCCGGCACGGTTCCTGCTGAGTCCTATCTTCTTTTTTTTTTGCTTGCAGCAGTTAGTAGCTCACCAGCATCCACCGTTGCTGCTGCTCGTTAATCCAGATTACTCCCTTTCACGATGTTAATTTGTGTCAACCCATACAATAACAACTCGCACGGGATCACACTCCCCTTGGCGCGCATTTTGTCCCCCCCCCCCCACCAAAGACGTGGAGGAGAAGCAGAGGATGTCGAACGACATCGAGGACCAGCGGGACGTCGTCCGCGAGGCGGTGCAGCAGGCGAGGGCCCTGTGCACCGCCACCGTCTCCAGCTTCGTGCAGGCCCTGGCGAACGCCCTGCCCCAGTACGCGGCCAACGGGATGACCGACTTCTCCGCGGACCCGTGGTGGGTGAGCATGACGTCGTACCTCAAGGGGTCGCTGTCGTTGTTTTCCGCGCTGCCGGGGGTGCCAGCGCGCCATTTTACCGCCGCCACCGAGGACGACGACGAAGGCGAAGAGGAGGCGGTGGAGGAGGAGGAGGAGCGGCGGATCCTTACCGCCGGCGAGGTGGAAGAGTTGGCGACGGCTGCCGGGTGTCTGGAGCACGTGGAGGTGAGAGCGCCGGCCTGTCTGGCTAACGCGCGGCCTTTGTGCAGGACACTCACTGCTTTCCCTAACGCGCCTGCTCGTCACACTATTTGATCCCTCCTACTCGCCCCACAGTCTGCTGATACGTATCCCTCCGGCCGCGCTCGCGGGCAAGATATGAAACCAGAAACCCGTGAGATCTGGGCTGGTGGTGTTATCCCGGAATATCCCACCACCCGGATCCATAAAATGTGGAATCAGATTGCCGTGACGTTCAGACCGGCATAAGGATAACGAACAATCCCCCAAAAATAGTCCACGTGACTCATAGTGGACGGCACATCCATGCGATATACCTCTCTCGGCAAGATACCCAGGCACCGGTCTTGGGGTTGAACTTGGTGGTTGTGTCATGTGGTCGATTCTTCTGATCACGGTTGCCTTTCATCTTGTTCTTTGAACGCGTCTGCTCGAGGTCTCCTGGCTGATGCATGCATCAACCAGGCCTGCCAAATGTTGGTGTGCGTACACATGTGTATAGTCGTCTGACGTTTCGCCCATCCGTTCGTGTTCTGCGCCTCCTCTTCGCAGGCCATTGTCGTTGATCTCAAGGGCATGGCATGAGCGGTTTTGCGGAGCAGAGCAAAATCGCGGGCGCTTGGAGTGGAGTTGGCGCCGAAGCCTTGCTCCCTGCCGTACTTGCAGGCCACGGAAGAGCGGGGATAGATGTCGCACCACCCGAAGGTCAAGATTCGGTTGGCCAGTAGCGAGCAAGGCGGAAGGGTGCGCAATTCATCTTGTCGTCGTTCTTGTTGGTGTCTCTCTCATGAGGTCGTATGCATAAGCACTACCGCCCTACGTAGTCATTAGTCACAAGCGGGGCAAAAAGCAGCGTGCCGGATGGCGAAAGAGACAAGAGCACGTACGGTATGAAAGCGCATAATCTTGGACGCGGGGGGTTCCTTTTTCAGCTGAATGAGACGAAGGCTTGATCTCACGTGCGGCTTGAGGTGTAGGGAGGAGAGGGGGGCGCGTCTCGTTATTTGTAGGTGGTGCCAAGGGCACCGCGTAGGCTGAATCTCGTCTACCAGCACCGACTAGTCTTGAGCAACGATGTAGCAAAGTCTGTTGCAGCAACAACCAAAGGTGGTGCGCTATTGATGTTCGAACAAGAATGGCTCATTGATTTCGTTGTAGCCGTTCCCAAACGCAGCACTTTCTTCTGCTTCGACCAGAGGTGCGGCCAACGCTCGGCCGCTCTCCGCGTTCCTGCCCTTTTTTCATGAGGACTCGCAAGCCCTTTTCTTTCTCCCGTTCCTTTTTTGGGGTTTTGTGGCCACCATTTCCTTCCGAGAGGACGGTGCGAAGGTGTGCATGACAGGGAAGCAAGCCCATACGACGAGAGCTGTTATTAGTCGCTACAGCAGTAGTGCGGCAGCTCGAAAGGGTTTTGAGTTCCAGCTGCGAACGGCGTCTGTACTTACTGGCCAGCCGGGAAGAGCTTTGGAGGAACGGAAAACACCCCCCACACACTCCCCCAGCGATATGTTGGCGCGTTTGGGCCTCACGTCCTTCTGGCACACAGCTCTTCGTGTGTTGCATGGAAAGTGTGCTTGCGACCCTAGCAACACTGGTTGACACGTTGTTATCCTCCGCACGCCTTCATGGGGGAGCGTAGCATAGTCTGGCGAACCCACAGCGGCAGTGAGAGATTCACCCCCAGACAACGTCGAGCGAACACGACACGACATAGGCGCGGTCGTGCGAAACGACAAACAAATGGCAAAGCTCGCGAGTACTGCCAGAACGTCGAACCCTACACACGTCACGCACACACTCGCCTGAGAACTGCCTGTTTGTGCCGGCTGTCGTTTTTTGCCGGCCGGAGAGACAACAACGGCATGTGGTGTGCACACGACCGACACGTACACAGCCGTGAGTGGGGGGGATCAAGTTCTGGCTCTAGCCAACAGTAGGATGGTCAAAATGGAGTGGACTTGATGGTGACGGGCTGGACACACACAACAGGAAGACTTGGGAGATATGTCCCGGGAAAACCACGGATAGATCGGTGATGGTAGGCGGGCGTTGCGTGCTGACTTGTGGGGAGCCCGTCGAGAATTGTGAGCAATAATAGCAAGCCGGGCGCAAAACAAATACGGCGGAGACATGCGATTAGGATAGACACGTGGTAAGCGACATCAAGCACAATCAGCGGAACGACCCTCGTAGTCTTGGGGCCAAACGAAAGATTTCAAGAACGTCGCGCTTGCTTGCCCGCGTCTCGTTTGAGGATATGACTCAGGTCTTTTTCTTTTTTTTTTGTGTTTTCATCAACCATCATCCATTTCTGTTGATGGGCGTGTACACAACCCACGCGTTTGGTCTACTAAAAAAAACAAGCGTCTAAGTCAGATAGCCCCTAGTTACACCGTCTTCCGTCTTGTACTTGGCACGAGGAACTCCGGTAAGCAGCGCAGCGACAAAACAGCGACAGACTCGGGGTTCACAAATCTCAACAACAAATCATAACAAAGCCAAGGGCCAACTCGACAGCATCGTTAGGGTCGACGTTTCTCAAGTGATACGGATCGTCCCTCTTTCTCTCTATCCCCCCCCCCCCCCTCCCCGGTGCCTCCAGGGGTCACCTACCTAATATTTTATACAATACAAGAGTGAGAATATCACGAGACGTGCTGTGCGGGGCATTGTCTCGAGCGATCGGCCGTAAAGTCTCACTTCGAAAGTTACGGTCAACGCGCACCACGTACAACCGAAAAGAGTGGCACAGCCACAACCATGACACGTACACATATTGGCACGCCAAATCTCACGCTACGTACAGTAGCGGCACGCGCGCACGCACATGCATCACGCTTTGGGTGTCACATGCAAGACAAAGAGAATACATCATTGAAGCCGAAGAAATATTTCGAGTGGATGGTTCGACCCCCCCCCCCCCCCGAACAAAAAGACCCCCCAAAAAATGAAACTGAAAAAAAACCAAAAAAAAACGAAAGGGGGGCTGTCTTCCATGGGCTCCAAAAAAGAAAGGGGGGGACCAAAACCCCCCCCCCCCCCCAATTTTTAAAGGGGGTTACTTTCCCCCCCCCCCTTCCCCT